TTTGAGCAACACCCTTTGATTAAATCTGTCCTTAAGTCTGTCTCTGTCTGAAGCAGCAATATGGTACCTTCTAAGGTACTTTAATTTTTCTAACTCCTTTACATTTACATAAGATCTTGCTTTCCTTTCTGTACTTATCCTTTCCTGTATGGGTGACCTGTGGGCCCATTCCCCAGGAATTCTGCATGGCAGGAACTGACATTGCCCATGAACAAATGCAAAGTGTCCTTACAAATTGGGACAAGTCCCCATCACAGATGCCATGGCAGTGCCAAGCACCTCTGCATGCAGGTGTTCATGCTAATAACAATGGTGAACACCATCACAAACCTGAAAAAGAATTCTTTTGGAGGAAAATTTTGCAAAAAAAAAGAGAAGCAATAGGAAATTTGATCAGCTTGAACTACAGCTAATTGTCAGGAAGAGATTAGCACAGTGCAAGGGTGAGTTTGACATTGGGGAATTAATTTATGATAGTTTAAGGGTTTTCCCCTGCTTTTTCTTTGTTGGTTATATTAGTAAGTATGCATATATTTGTGTGATTACCATTATTGTTTTAAATCCTTCCATCAGAATTGTGGTAACACAGTCACAGATTTGTAAAAGTGGGCTCATTAGGATAAACAGATGGAAAAGAAACCAGAGACTATGAAGTAGGATATCTGGAGTACTTTGAGACATCACATCAGTTTTCTTCCACTCCTTCTTGGGGTTTCATTACACAAGCAGTCTTGATGAATGGCTTCTCTGTGAGATCTAATGAGGGCACATGTGACTGACTCCTTGTTGTGTTACAGCCTACATGGCCTCCCTCCACTGAATGGAAGGCTGCCTCTAAACCCTTTGGACCAGGAAGATCCTTAAATCCACACAGACAGATGATAATAAAAAGAAAGCTAAAATTATTTTGTTCTAAAACTTTGCTCTTGTATGAAATAATTATGGCATCAGTAGGGACCTAATTTTGGGAGCTGCTCCTGCCTGGGGGTGGGACAGGCCTGGGCTGCCACCCTCCCTTGGGGGTCCCCATGATCCTTGTCCCCATCCCCAGGCCTGGCTGCATCAGGGCAGTCAGACCCTTGCTCTGTTCTTTTCTGTGTGTGCTCAGAATGTGAATGTTTACATTCACTCATTGCTTCTACTAATAGGCTTAATCTTGTAGTTTTTACATTTAATGATCAGTCCTACTCTGAGTGCAATCTGATTGATAAAATATTCAATTTTTGCTTATTAGCTTGAGGTGAATGTCAGGCTGTGTATGCTGGATTAAAACTCTTGGCTATTAACATTTACCCCTCCAGTCAGCATTCAGTGCTAATCAAGATACATTTCAGTCATGGCTGATGCCACTGTGGAGTGCAGGGACAGAGCAGACAACCTGCTGAGACACCTTGCAGCAGTTTCTCCGTAGTGGAAAGCCTGGCATGCAGCTTTTGCTCATTTAATTGTGCAGTATTTCAAAATCACAGATGTGCTTTCACAATTTCTGCACTGATTGCATGAGGGAAATTTGAAGCTGTGTAAAATACATGTTTAGCAAGGTATTTAAATTTGCCTGTCCTTTGCAACATCAGTATTCAGCAAGCACAAAGGCACTAAGCAGGAGAACAACATGGCTTGGTTGCAGATGAGGGAGGTGTCAAGATGTTTACCCCTCCTTTGGGGGATCCTCCACTGTAGGGGGACACAGTATAGGTAAATGAAAGTGGTAGAGAATGTAATCTTATCCCCTAAAGAGTTGCAGCTGAAACAATTACTAAGATTAGGAGTAGGCCTGATGTTAACAGGCCACAGCTGTAGCCAATAAGAAGAGTGATATAAAAGACTGGATTGGTAGGAAATGGAGTCAATTGGCTGCTGTGAGGACAAGGAAGAGTCAGTGCCTGGAGGAGCTGCCCACTAGAAACATCGAGGAGGTGCAAAACTCCAGCAATATGGAACCCTTGCAATGTAATGACAACAGAGCCTTTGCAATATAATGACAACACTCCACCAGGGGTGAAGTGCAAGCACCAGATTCACTGGGGGCCTGAGAGCACCAAGGCTCAGGGAATGCTCAGGGCATGTCAGGACAGGGGTGGAAAAGGGTGGGAGGAGGATGAACACCCATGGATCACTGACAGGGACCTGGCATAGTGGGAGTTTGCATTCAGACCAGGAATTTAGAAGAATTCCTGGCTTCAATCACACCCCTGCCCCTGAAGCAGTGCTAATATATTCTGCAGGTAACAGAGGAATCCATTCTGATGCTTTGACTGTAGGTGATGTTAACATCCATTTACTTGCCAGCAGGAAATATCAGAGATGTGAACCAGTTGTCCTGAAGAATTTTCCCCCCGAACATGTTGAAGAAAAACTGTAACACATAAACAACAAAGAACTGTTTTGTTTTTTTTTTTAAATGCACTACTATTTAAGGAGTAGAAACTGAGAGGATGTGTAATTTAAAAAGCTGCACAGTGGTTTTACCAGCCACTGACCAGACAGTGATGAATCATGTGCCTAAATTCTACCTCTTACACTTTGAAAATGTGGAGATCTTTGGCTTTGACCCCTACTCCATCAACTTTCCACTAAGTCCTCAAAATTTACTCCCTGGCTGTCAGTACGTTTTCTACCAGACACCATAGACATTGTGCCATTTAATTGCCACAATGTCAGAGAACCTAAGAAAATTTATGACAACAATGTATTTTATCTCAGATAAGCTCTAGTCTGAAGTGAGGGAACGTGGAGGCTCTCAGCTGCTGTGTTTTCCCAGAAAGTTTGCTTTGCCTTTAACATCATGCATTCAAAGGATAATGAGCCAAAATCCAGGCACAACAGACTTCATCTATTTAATTAGTTAAAACCACATGAGAGAAGTAATGGGACCATAAAACCCAGAAACTGAATCCTAATGGGATTAGATGTGAGGGTTCCAGACCAAAAAATAAACCACCACAATTCATCTTTATGCCATTAAAGAGACTTTATTAGAATTATTCTAACAAAGTCATTCTGCTCATACCTGTTGAAGACAGATACTTTTGGACTGGGATCTCTGTATAAAATTGTTATTAGGATCAGCAAAGGTGTATCCGAATATTTGAGGATCTTAAAGTGCTTGACAAGCATCACAACATTGCAAACAGAAAAGCAAAGAGGGGAAAGCAGAATCTGTTTAAATTTCCATGGTGTGCTAGCTTTTGTATGGCTGGGGTTACCATCAAAAAGAACCTTTGAACCAGACTTATTGCAGGAGAGAGGAGGGAAAAACCACCAACCTGGCTTTGGGAGAGGTTTGGCCTGCTCTAGACAGTGCTGGATTTATTCACTAGCAGGATTATATGATGTGTCCATGAACATACAGAAACAGACTTAATGACACAGATATTTGTTCTGCTGTCTCTTAACAGGAGCCCTTGGAGGATTTGTGCCTTCATAGGTCCTTCGGTTTCAAACACACCTATTAAAAAATAAATAAAAAAAGATATTGATTCTTAGAGGCACAAGAGAAAAATAGGAATCAGAAGAATCCCAGGAATAAGTGTTATATATTGGGAACATTAAGAGGTTGTGGCACCTGGCATTAAATACATAAATATAACCATAGCTACCCTTGACAAGAGTCCATAAAATTACCCATTTCTGCTTTTAGAATAGTCTTCCCCAATTTTCAGTGTTTCATATGGGATTTGAAATGTCTCTGCAACCATCATTTATGATAATTTGATAAATGTGTCTCTCTCAGGATAAAGAGGTCTTGGAATTCGATTTAATCAGACAGCTTCTTTCAATCAGAGTAAGAATATGTATTTCTATCTTTATTCTATTTCCTGTCCCTTTAATTTTCTTTCCTCCCTTTTTGCCTAAAAATGCAGGACTGTACCCACTGTAGTCAACATTCGTGACTTCCATCACACATGCCCCTGTCTCTAAACCCCATAAACTCTCACTTGAGGTATTATGGAAAAGGGACAGGGAGCCCTCCCAGACTCTCTCTTATGGGCTGCTTTTTGCAATGTACAGCTCCAGGACATGGAGAATGACAGGAACTGAACAAGTGTCTGGCTCAGAGGATGTCCTGGAGCTGGGAACCTTCTGCCTGGAGCCTGCTGGGTGTGTGTTGCTATAGGACACAAAATAAAATGACCCAGACACCCAACTCTCGAAGGTAAAAAAGAGGGAAGTTTAATTTCTGACTCTACCATTTATAGATTTCCAAAAGTGACAGTGGATTGGAGGATGACATTGCTACTTCTCCAACGACACTGGACAAACCAACAGTCTGTCAAATGTTTCTCCTCCATAGAAGAACACAAAACAACAAGTTATTTACATAAAGTGCATGAGATGGTTCATTACAGGAATGTAAATGATCAAGATTCAAGAAGATACAAGAATGTAATCAAAAGGCTTAGAAAAACTTGAAGAAACAGGTGTGGGAGGTCAGGTATGACTAAAATGACTGCTGGATGGGACCCCTACAGATACACCAAACCAAACTTATTTCCATGCTTTGAGCATCCCCAAACCCACTTCTCCAGGTGCCACCCTCGCAGTAAAACAGAAACCTGAGCAGTGGAAGGCCCTGCTGGGTGTGCAGGGGACCAGCCTAAAGCATCCCGGCGGATTTGACGACACAGTTCTGGACAAGGCCTGTGGGGCTGTGATCCTCTTGGGGGTCACACTCAGCTCTGTGCTCTGAGGCCGGTCTGCAGCAGCACTGACACACCTCAGAGCCCCCACCTCGGCAGCCACAGCCACCCCAGGGCGGCTGCGGGAGTGAATTCCAACAGAACCAAGCAGAGAGCCCGCACTGCTGCGCCTTGGGAGCCAGGGCCGAATTCCATGGGAATCCAGGGAGGCAGCAGATCCTCTCCAGCAGGGCTGTGGGTCAGTGCCCGGCAGCAGCAGCTCCAGCAGCAGCAGCTCCAGCAGCATCCCCGTTGAGCAGCCCCGCACGGCCCGGGCCGGGCCCCGCAGCGGGGGCGGCGCCAGCGCGGGGCGGGCCCGGCACAGCCCGGCCGGAGCCGCCGCGGGAGCAGCGAGCCCCGGAGCGCCATGGCCGAGAGATGCGACGTGGTCGTGGTCGGGGGCGGCATCTCAGGTGGGTGCGGGAGCGGTGGGGATGGCGGGCAGGGGATGGGGCAGAGTGGCGGGGGATGCGCGACCCCCTCCCGGCCCGAGCGCATCCCCCCAGCTCGGTACAACCGGCTGGGCACAGCCCCATCGGTCGGTGCCGTATGGTGCAGGCAGTGTTTTATTATTATAAACTATTAATAATGTCAATTGTAGTGTTATTTTCTCATATTTTTATTTAATTTTATTTGTTTCTATCTTATTTTTATTTTATAATTTACTTTATCTTTGGTTTTATTATTACCCATTTGTATTAATTATTATTATTATTTTATTCGATTCATCATTATTACTTTTTATTCTTATTTATTTTACTATTAATTTTTCTATTATTATTTATTTCCACTATTATTTATTTATTATATTTATACTTCATCATTTATTATTTATTATATTGTATCTTTATAATAAAATAATTTTATTATAGTTTCTATCCATTTTTATGGATATAAATGATAATTGATATAAATGTAATTTTTTTATAGTTTATATAAATTTTTATTATAGTTTATATCCATTATCGTTCATTTTTACTACTATTGTTCATTTAAATAATTTTTTAAATTAAATTTTATTATAAATATTTAAATTTTATTTTTCTGGTTCTTCCACTGTCCAGTCCTGGCATCCCCTGAATCTGTGCAATTTTTTTCCAGTACCCCTGGATCTTTTGGACAAGCCAGGCTGGAAGCACTCAGCATCCTCTGCACCCAGTTCAGGGGTGTTAGGTAGAGGCCCATGTGATTAATTTGAATCCTTGGCTGCCTTTTGTTCAGAGCAGGTAGAGGCATAAAGGAAAAATGCCTGAAATCAGCAGGGTGGATAGGAAGTTTCTAGCTCCCCTTTCAGCGCAGGTATGGGTTTGAGAGCATGAGCAGCCTGGCAGAATGGACAGGCAGCACTGGGGCCCTGGAGCCTTCTTGCACTGGAGTGACAATCAGCTGTTTTTAACTCAGCCTGGGCTAGAAAACCTCTGTGCCTGCCCACAGTGAATCTCTCCCCTGAGCATTTTGTTCTGAGATGCATGTGCCAAACAAATAGTGCATGGGCAGTAGATTTTTTCCCCCCTGTGCCTTTGGCATTTCAACAGTTGTTTTTTGGCCCCTTAGCATAAGGAGGTATGAAGTGATAGATCCTGTCCCATTGGTGATCTCCTCAGAGCATGAGGAGTGTGCTCACATGCACAGATCCAGCAGTATCTCCTGCCAAACCACAAACAATTACTTGAGATCTGTTTCAAAATGTGATTTTGTCCATCTGTTTTTCATATGTCTTTTAATTTCCACTATTTCCCTATATATAGTTCTAGATGTTTGCTTAACCATCATGTTAAGGTGTGTAGCATGCAATTTGAATGATATACAAAATGCAGAGAAAAAATCATAAGCATTATTTCCTAAGAATGATTCTCTGATAACAAACTGCTGAATAATGTTTGAATGTTTCAAGTATGCTTATGCAAACAGCAAAACATTAACCAGTGCTTTTCTATAAAGCACAGTGGATTCTGAACACAGTGCTGTGGCTAATTTTTAACTTACACCGTGTGTCACAGTGAAACTCAATTAAAGTAATTAGCCTGTGGTAAATATCTGTTCATGCCTTGTAAACAAAAACATTTCCAGTGGCATGGTTTTGTGCAGCAGTAGTGCTGCATTCCCTCTGTTGAATGAGTTGGAGTGAAAGAGTCAGTGTAACAGCTTTTAAACTACCCCTGTTATCCGTGGTTGCCATGGGAATATTTTCATGGCAAGCCTGCACAGCCCACTCAGGTTTTTCTGGAGGAGCATCAGGAGAGAGGAGCAGTGCTGAGCTCTGGTCAATCGTGTGCTTCACTCTTTGCCACGGGTGGACAGCAGGAAGTGGCAGGGGGAACAGTTTTCTATTTACTTCTCTTTACATTAAATAGCCACCAAAATGCTCCTGTTTGGTGCTGTAGCAACTTTTCTCCTGTCTTCCCACAAAGGCTGGAGAAATACACAGGCACAAAAATTGCTTTTGACTAAGTATCCCTCTTCAGTCCCTTTCCTTTAGCTGTTGTGTACAGCCCCTGCTCACTCTGATTCACTCTTGTCTGTCCATCATTGAACTTGCAGCCAGGTGATGGGACTGTGGTTTTAGATCTCCTTACCCTGATTTAAACCCCCTGCTAACATGCTCAGCTGCTGCAGACATCTCTGCTCCTTTCCACCAGAGAGTGAAGTGTTTGAATTTTAGAATCAGGCACCCCTTGGAGAGCAGGGTTGTTACTGCTCCACAATTCCTGTGTGTGTTCCTTCAGAAAGTCCCTGGATCTGAGCTGCCCGAGGCTCTTCTGACCCAGGCTCTGTGGCTGCTGCCTGTGAAAACAAACAGCAGAAGGCTCTTGGCACACTGAGGTGTGCTCAAACCACCTGCCCCAGCCTCAGCCAAGCAGGGAATTGCAGAGCAAACAAAGAACTGCTGTGCCAGCAGGAGGATGCACACAAACAAGTGTCACAGAGCTGCCCCTTGGCCATCTCCTCTCTGTTTATTTCTGCAGGTAAAGCAAGCTGTGCTTTTGCAGGCTCAGACCCTCCTTGGCAGCAGCTCTGAATGTCTTTTTATCGAGATGTAATTAGTAGGGTTTAAAATGTAAAGACTGAAATCCTGATCATGAAATAACAGTGCAGAGACCTTCACAACCCTGGCAGTCTCTGTTCTTTTACCTGAAGATGCCACTTCCTTTGCTGAATAATTTTTAGTGTCTTTAATTGTAGGTTTTATAGAAGGGAAGAATAAAACTAAGGAACCATTTAAATTTTTCGTGATGAAAACCTACTCAAAATTAGTCTTCCTTTCTTTCAAGCCAAAGTAATGGTCTGTGGCTTTTCTGAAGATATCAGGTAATCTCAATAATATTGAGGACAATGAAGACCTTGGAGGAACAGGAGGATTTGCTAAGGGTAGATTCTCTTTTTTGGGTAAAACTTCAGCAAAAGCTTTTGAAATTTTTTTGCAACTGCTGCAGATTAACAAAAAATATTTTAAAAGAAAATTTCCCAGAGTCAAAAAGCATAAATGAAAATGCTTAGCCACACATGGCATGCAGTTTGCCTGGTATTAAAGAATATTTAGATCAGAAGCATAACAGACCCTCCTAGAGCTGGAATGTGCATTGTGACAGATTCTTCTCTTTGCTTGGAGTCCTCACTTTTACTTTGAAGGGCTCCTCCAGCACAAGGGTCAAAACAACTATGAGAAAACTATAAAGTTGCATCAACAAACTTGTTTGTCTTCTAAATTGAGACACCAGTGACTTCAAATAAAATCTTGAAATCTGCTCAGAGATTTTGTTTAAAGATTTTCTCCTTTTGTTTTCAAAAGTGTCTTCTTGTCCCTGTTTTTGCCATTGGAACTGCATTCCTTGTTTTGTTTTCAAGTAAATGATCAGATTTTATCCTAATCTTATGCCAGTACTACTTAAGAAAATGCTTCTCTTAAATCTCTGGTGCATAGATTTTACAATCAAAGTGAGGTTAATTGATTTTTTTTTTCCTAAAGGTGAAGTCTTCTGTTAATTATAGTGTTATTTGAAGTATGCTGGGTGTTTTGCTGTTTACAAGCATCCTGCCATGTTCCTGTAAGCCTAGAACCAAAACATAGTGTAAGAGAAAGTAATTCCATTGTTATGTTGGGTTTTAAAAACATTTTCATACCTATTCTTGCATTATTGAGGTGCCACTGTGCTCTCTACTCTTCTTAAGCCTCACTTTTAATTTGTGTGACAATTTAATGTGCTGTATAATTACAGCAGCTCTCACTGCACTGGTGAACCACTGTCAAGCTGTTTTAAAAATAAAAATTAAACAAAAAAAAAAAAACCTAAAACAGACCAGGTGTTTTGAGGGCTATTATCTGACGGTGTTCTATCTCTTTAAAAACAGACTGATGCAGAGGGCAAAATTTTTTTTTTTAAAAAAATCTGGGACATGTTGTAAGAAAACTATGGATGAAAGAGGTAATATTCAGTAGATACTTGTTTCTTTTTGCCCTCTGGTAGTAAATTACAATGTCTCAATACTCCTCCTCTGAAAAGATGGTTTACCAAACAAGACAATGTTCTTAGACATTACTAGTCTGGGAGTCCTATGCTAGATGTCCATTTGGAGAAGAAAAAAACCCCACAAAACCAAACTGAGGGCATGGATGGAACAGCTTTTCATGAGGAACCAGATTGGATTGGTCAGTGGGAGGACTCTGACCCTCTCCATGGAATTTCACCCTCTCTGGGATGCACTCTGGCAAAGGGAATCTAGGACATTTTCCTGTCAGCTGGCATGATGAAGCTCTTGGTTCACATTTTCAGTCACCTGTCTCTGTATCTGACAGCAGGAATTTATTCCTTTTGTACTCAACCTCTCATGGCTGCAGCAGTAGGAGCCAGTTAGAGGGAATCTGCATTTGACTTCTAGACATTTCACAGAAAAAAACTTGGCAATGCACAGTAAACAGAACAGAAAGCAGCTGCATAATGTTGTGAAATGGTTTGGTAGCCTAGGCAGCAGGGACAGCTCTTGTAATTCACTGTCTGAGACCTCCTAATTGGTCTGAGAGTTGATTTGATAAGAAGCTTTCCAGCCTACCTGCAGGAGCCATCTCATCTCACAGGGCTCAGGGTGATGCTTCATTAAGGAAAGGTTTTTCATTAGCTTATTTAACCATTATGAAAGGGCGTTGTTAGGGAAAGTTCATTCAGTCTCTTCAGCAAAATGTGAGAACTAGCACGGAAGGGGAAAAAAGGTAAGTTAGGATGGCAAAACTTTGGGAAAGGAATTGCTGTTATGTCTATTACAGGAAATATGTTAAGTATTAAGGGAAATAACTGGTAGAGAACCAAAGTTTATGTGCAGAAGTGGGTGTTAAAGTTACAAACTGGAGAGTCCACAGGATTTTCTTATCTGTGCTACTGAATTGCCTAACGATTTTCAGGAGAGACTGAGAGCTCTT